AACAACAGCGACTTATGATGCACAAGGTGTTAGTTCAGAAGTTATAAGCTGCGCGGCATTCTGCCGCGGCAAAACACAGCCACTGCCGCGTCAATGAGGCGGGCAATGCAACACTTTTCAGCACCCAATTTACACGTCCATGGTCCATGGACGGGAAAACGAGATGAAATAAATCCCTCCAATCAATTTAGCACGCTTGCTCATGGCTTACACGCCGCGCGGCAGTGCCGCGACAAAAGAATTCAGACCACACAGTCACAACTTCGTTATTTCAATCAACTGTTGCGAAGATTCTGAAGAGAAAATTGGTCCAACTTTGAAAACATGTCTGCAGCGTGATTTTGAAGCCGCCAAGAAATGACTCGAGGCTGCAAAATCACCTCAGTCGCTAGTGTGAAATTCACTACCTGGTGGTTGCATGGAAAGTCTTGAAAGCTTTGAAGCGCGGTGCATTCCATCCGGAGAGGCAAGCTCAGTGCACATAATCGAGGATTTTGGACCGCGCCTGGATTTTGTGGAATTGCTTTAGCGCCTCTCGACAAATTGCCTAATCGGTAGTTTCAACCCAGAGTGGGAAACCATCCGAACGCAAATTGTGGCAAGTAAAACAGCACGCCTAGTAGGTCCTTTCGAGAGGTTGAAGACCTGTTTTGACCCTCAGGAATTGGTGCAGTGGTTCTTGTAAAATTCCCTATTCGGTCTTTGCAGCCAACTGCAACTTCGATATGGGAGTCAAAAATTAGGTATACTTTTTTTGACTGAAACCAATGTAAGGGGCTTAGGCAAAGCTAACAAAATTTATTTAGGATTTGTCGTGCGTCTGTTCAAGAGTTATGAGCTGCGCGGCACTGCCGCGGCAAAACACAGCCACCGCGCGTCAATGCGCGGCAATGCCGCGTCAGTGCGCGGCAGCGCCGCGGCAGTCGCGGCATTTTCACCCAGCCCCTTGAGGTTTGGCCATTCAATTGAAACCGACCCGTCGTTGGCAAGAGATACAGAAGCAAAGACGAAAGAGATTTTTGAGAATCCGGGAAGGTCTCCAATCTCTGAGCGTAATGGAAGGGCGGCTGAAATCGAACTCTCGCCTGACAAAAGATGAATTATGAAATTTGCCCAAGAGTAGTAGTAGCTTACTGCGAGTGCGCTTCGGCTCACTGGCCAGACTGTGAGCTGTCGGGTTGTCCTTGCGCTTTTTGTTCTCCTTGTCAGTGTGCACAAAGTAAGGGGCTAGCGCTCTGGTTTTCTCCTCAAACTATAGCACCAATGGGTTCGTTCAGCAGTTCAATTTGAAGGGACAGACAGCTTACATCTTTGACCGAAATTAAACCTTCCACATAAATCGCCGGAGAGGCCAATCTGAGGGTGGTAGGCCCTTGCAGGATCTTCTTCGGGTGATTGCCATGCACACGATCATGGGTATCGAAAAAATTGCCAAGAGTCCCAAGCGTGCTATGTGGCTGAATCGCGATGTTACCAAGGAGCCGAAGCGAAATGTGCTCCCTGGAAAAGACAGGTCTCAGCCGGTCCAAAAGGCAATAACATGGAGACTCACACTTTGAGGCTTTCGGAGCAGTCCCTCTCCCATTCCAGATTCCAATGACGAAGAAGAAGGGCCAGCGCCTCTGGAAAAGAATCATGTAGTAGCAGAATACAAAAGCTGGAATTGGACTTGCCCGTCATCGCAATATCTTCAGGGAAGGTACGAGTAGCATTGGCCAGGATCCGAGATGCATCCGTGCGAGTGCCATTGGATGTCATGGGGACAAGATAGAGAGTGATTTGTCTTGGTACACCCTTCGCAGCGGCCGCCTGAGAACCAGTAGTGAGCTTTGGTCCGCCTTTGCTCAGCGTCCTGGCAGCCATTGCGTTACGACGAGTTTCGGCTTGGATTTCTTGCAAGGTTCTCATCGAGGTGTCGGTTCCGGAGGGCTGATTCTGGTCTTCCGAACCAGGAGAAAGTGTCAGGATACGGTAACATCACATAGTATGCGGCGAAACAGACCTTCATAGATTCCGCTCGCTGGGGGTCCTTGAGAGTGATATAACATTTTGCGCAAAGTCCGGTGGTGGTCTTGTGATCAAAAGAATCGCCACACGAATCTCCCGGGCGGTCGGGATTAATGCACAGAGTTGGATCGAGAGGAGGATTGTCGGCCATGAGTGTTGATTGGTTGAACTTCATTGGAATCCAAGTGTCCGTTATATAGTGGAAAGTCCGGAGGCGCAACTATTGATTTAACAATAGCAAGGATACCCCAAAGAGAAAAACAATGAGAACAACTGCCGGTGGTGACTCAAAACACAATAGAGACGAGCAGATCGACGCCCGACGACCGCAAACTAAGGCGGCTTTCAAGGTGGCGTGAGACGAAGTGATAAGTGACTCAACCAAGTTGTGGCGCATCCGATCCCGCAGTAGGCGCATCATCCGCTTCGGGCAAGGGTTTCATTGTTTTTATTGTTCTCACCGATCTATGACTCGGCCTTAATTCTCGGATCACACACTTCCCACGGTTCAACTTGACTCGCTTTGCGTAGTCAGACTTTTCGCCTTATTGTACTGCGTGAGAGCATTTCGAGCCCTTTTGTTCTCTGAATCGTATAAATTCCAAGGCTGCTCTGCCTGAATCCTCAGACCAACTGTGGCGTCCAGCACCCAGCGTCCGGATGGTAAACGCAAGCGGTTCCAACGGGCACTACAACGGTACTCGTAAGCTGCTTTTCACTGTATTTCTCCCATTCACAGTCTGAAACGATACCAGGTCCTCCCGATGAGATTCTGAAACCTGCTCTGCATGGATATTCTCACAAAAGTCTAACGCTCCAGCAGCGTCTGGACTATCTGCTCAAGGATTTTGGATACAAGATCAGGTACACTCGTCCCATCTGCATTCGGCCTTGCACTGTCATTTTTTTACCCCAGCTTCAGTACACTGAAAAAACTCAATCGCGAATTTGAAGTGCCCACTGTGAAAAAGCCGCCCCCGCCTCACATTGCGACTACCTTGATTGCGGAGGTTATGACCAACAATGTCTCATCCCGCAACGGTCCAACAACCATTCAAAACCAAATTTCTCGTCAAGATGGAATCAAAATCCCGAGGCAAGTGAACTTGATTTTGTATAACTCCTGTACTAATCACCCACCAGAAACACTGTTCGGCGCATCATGGCGGACATTGATCCAGATGGCGCAGAGGCCAGATTTCCGGGTCGTAGACGTCAGCCCAAAAAACGGGGGCACTTGACTGACACCGGAATCTACTACGAAGTTCATTTTGACGGGCATGAAAAGCTAAATTTCAAAGCTCTGCGAATGGGTCGTGTGGGGATCGATATCTATGGTTCTCGTTGCCATTCCAGCAGCAAAATGATCAAATTTCTTGTCGTTCCAAATGCCCGTTGCTCCTCTACGGTTGGCCACTACTACCTGGATTTGGTTGAAGAAAATGGTGGTATGTTGCCTCCTTTTCTTTGTCCGACTCCAACATATATGCTCACTTCTCCCAGTCTTTGTTCAGGCAACAGTGGACGGTGGTTCAGAGACTGGAGAACTATATGCAGCTCATGTCGCTCTGCGGTGAGTCTCCCAAATTTCTGTTTGCCATCATCTCACCATTATATGTCAGCGACTACTGTATGCCGGATCTATCACTCGAGGCGGCACCTGCTTTTGTAGCGCTCCCCAGCACAGATAACATTCCAATAGAATCATCCTGGCACCTCTTCACCAACTATATTGGCCTCGATATCAAGCAAATCTTGCTTCTCGGAAAGAGCCTGAATTACTTCAACCCCGCATTTCAGCTGCATGTGTATGTCATTCCTGGTTCGCAATGTATACTGGCAATCTTATTTCAGTTGCAGTGATCTCTTCAATTGGTTGTGGCCCAAGATTGTCCAAGTCTGTCTCGATGACTTTGTTGACTATTGGAACGACCATAAGATTCGAACCCAACGCAACAAGCTGTTGCCATCTGGTGTCTCTCCTAACTACATCTGCGACTTTCCGGAGCGGTTTGGTCTTGTCAAATTTGGCGAATCAGCTCCCCAGCACGCCATTGACGCACTCAGGCAGAATATTCCAAAATCTCGAGAGGAATGTTACAGGTGGGTATCCGATGAGTTTGACGCGCAGGCTTGGGAGGTTTATGAGGGTATTGGCCATCCTAAATTAGTGTTGACAGATGGTTGGACCATATTCTGCCAGATGCTTCCTTGTTTCAGTGAAATAGTCTTCTAACAACCTGATGAACCTGATAGTTTGGCTTGTTTGGTGACAAACGGTTCGGATTACAGATTCCATTCCCCGGCATTGTACGCAGTCACAAATATCCAGAGCAACATATGGATGCCTGGCAGTTGCTCTAAAATTGTTTCCAAGAGGATTCTGTTATGCTAACGCTCACTGTGGTTGAATATTTTGGCATCAGTCATTTCATGAATTGGGTGATCGGAATTTCTTTGTTCCGATCATTGTTGGGAAACCGGGGAAATCTGTGCAACCGTGTACATACCTACTACCCCTTGTGTACGCCTATGCATCCAATACGATGAAATGGCTTGCCACAATACATAAAACACAACATTCAACGGCCACAACCGGGGATCACCGGATCCGAACGGCAATCTATCAAAATCAAAATGTCAAAATCAACCTCGACCATCCCGCCTACCGTACAACTGTAGGTCACACCCAACTTATCACTGACAAGCGAGATTGTTTCAGGGCGAAATGCGCGTTCCGAGTCCCGCCGAAGACACGAGCAAGGATATATGAATCTTTTGGGGGAACACTTCTGCTAAATAAATACTTGTGGGAGACGCACCGAAGAGGCGTGTTGACGGAAAGCCTCGATCCCGAGAGGAGGTGAAGTCAACTGCCTTGGCTCACACGATGTGAACGTCAACTGTCAACAGTTCAAAGGACTTGGATCCATTCAACCTAAGCTACAGTCGTTCGGCTTCAACAAACCCTGACCACAATTAGAAGGTCACAAGCTTTTGTAGATCAATGCCAGATCACCTCCACTCGATACCAGGGCCTGCAAATGCGAAATATTGCGGAGGAAATGCGGGTTCAACTCCCGCCAAAGGCATGGGCGTGAAAGGTCGCCTCCTTTTGGTTTGAGGTCGCGGATGAGCTCGATCTTGATTGCGTACGCGGTGTCGCGCTGAGCAACAAAATCTGTGCCAGAATACGGGACTACGTTTCGCGCACACGCGATCCGCACCGCTTGGATTGAAACTGGAGAAATCCTATCAGAATTGCGCTCCATAGCATGCAGATTACATTCAAATGTATCGCTTCGTTGACCAATGTAGGTCCCGCCCAAGTTACCAACTAGTCTTTCAGCGCGGATGCGGGTTCGAATCCCGCCGATGGGATTGGGCACTGCAGCAGCGCTTTTTTCGGAGAACGGTGCGGGAGAGATTTGTTTGGGAAGCTGCCAAGCAGCCAGAGAAGAGGATCATGAGCCGAGACACGGAGCATGGGTAGATTCCGCACTGTGAGCTTCAGGAGAACTTAACACGTGAGGATGGGCGAATGCGCGCTTGCCCTAGGTACCAGCACAGATGGCCATCGAGGTCACTTCAAGTTGAGCGAGATTCCGGGGTGCTACGAGGGGAGGCGAGCCGCGTTGACCCTCCAATAGCCCCGGAACGTGGGCGTCGCCCCGCAAAGGAAAGCCACACCGGAATGATTTGGTGAAAGAAAATGTGTAGTCATTGACTTGAAATAGCCCAAGGTCAGTTCGAACGAGCGCGTACACCATTCGAGCACATGCGAGGATGTAGCGCAGGTGCGCAGCGTCCGCTACTGGGCCTTTTCAACATGCTTGGTAACTTGGCTAGGTTGGGATTAAATTTAGAGGACAGTTCTAAGGATACAGTGGATATGGATGTGCGAAGAGAATCGAGATGCGCGTAGGAGTCGGGCGCCGTATCGGCAAGGGGTGTGACTAGGATTAAGAAGAGTCCTCCCATATTTCGTCACTTCGTAGGATAGCGGGATTTGTGTAAGTTCGTAGGGACGCCAAGGGTATCAATATCTGTGAATTTTGGAACAGGGGCCGGTTTTTGAAAATAAGACCTTGGGTTTGAACCAACCAACCACGTGACATCCATATAAGGGAGATCATTCCCACGGGTCACGTTTGCCCCAACGTCTTTCCGCCCACGACACCTCAAAACACCCTCACTGCTGCTTGAAACGGCTTATAACCATCCCAGGTGGCTTATTATGGTTTGTGTGGGCCGCGAAGCGCCGTGGAATATTTTTCCGATGGCAGCCAACATGAACCAACCAAGTACCAAATTGGGGTTGAACCGCCGAAAACCAGGGAAACCTATCCAAAACCTATGGGCTCTACTTCTGTGCTTGGAGACAAGCTCATACACATAGAATGTACTATATTTGGCCATTTTGAACCCCCCAGAGCAGCAAATTGATGGTTCCCGGAAATTTTTTTAAGGCCTGACGGCCGAACCAACCAACCAGCCCCTGTTCCGGCAATCACGGCCCGGCATACCCTTGAGGGACGCGAAGCAAGTTCGTCAGATGCCAAATTAGGTATCCTGACTGAGGAACTTCGTCGGATGAGGCAGCTTGCCAAGCAAGTTGGCCGTGTGCTTGCCGTGCGCTAAACAAGAGTAAATGAGGCGCGTCAAGTAGATCCGGATCAAACCGAAGCCATCATTCCCGTCACTGTCGTGACAATGGCTGGACGGTGCTCTCCAGTTTGGTACTCGTCGTGTGTGGGTCTGCCGCTGGTAGAGGCACACTCAAAACTTGTTCAGTATGCAAGTCCACACAATGGTATTATTGCTGAGTCCTCCCAAAGTGCCCCTCGAGCCCTGTGCAGTTAAGCATTTCGAGTATGCACTGTTTGAAGCAAAGGTCAGATTACGTGCCCACACTTAGAGAAAAATCGATTACAGTAACCGTGATTTTAAACGATTTGTGTCACAGTTTGAGAATATCCGTAAGGACCCCCCATCCGCTGGGAAAATGATGATTATATTGACTCCAGGTTCAGCAGAAGGCTTACATCGAAGGAAAATAGGACGTAGAAAGCATTATCTGATACAAGGTCGCGTAGATATGGCGGTCGGGGAAACAATTAACAAGGAACACTTGAAGAACACTGGACATTCATCCAACACATTGCTCAAACATCCAGTTCGGAGGAGCGTCGCTCCTCCAGTTGAAATTTGTGCAGCAAATGGACACTCCTCTTGATGTTAGCGAGGGGAACAATGCTTGCGACTAGCCCTCCTTTTCTGGAGTCTGACCGTGTACATAAGATGGTGAGGTTCAGGCTGGGACGTTGAAGGGGGAAAACCATTCCACATAAGCATAAGCATAAGCGAGGTGCCGCGGAGGAACCACACCCGCTGCAAAGAGGCCCTGGATGTGGTGTGCGTTGAGAGAGAAGATAATGCAAACCTGAGCCAAATGATAGCCTGTATACAAGTCAGCATCGAAACAAACCTGCTCACCTGCAACACAAGTGAACTCATCGGAGCCATTGTTGACCAGATCGTTGACCAGCGCAGCGTCGAAGCGTCTGGGAATCTCTTTCCCCGAGCGTGTAGAACTACCACTGAATCTTGCCGGCAGTGTATGTCTTCGGTGATAAGTTTGACCCGGTGATAAACTGGGACGCGGTTGAAATGAAGGTTGAAATGAAGGGAGAGAGAGGTGGATTGTGCGTCGATCTGCAACAACACCAAGGTCAGTCCAGACGATCAAACCAAGCATTACACACTTAGTAAGAGTCTGCGCGCGCGTTATCGTTCTGACGAAGAGAACGTGAGGAGAAGCAAATATGTACATGTAATCCAGCCACAACGTTGAACTGAATGAAAGTCAGTTGAAGATGGGTCAGCCTGTGAGAAGAGAATTTGACGTCGCAGCCACGGCGGATTCCTGAATGAAACGAAGTCGGTCAAGCTGAACTGAAGGACGACATCCCTCGTCTTGATTGGGGTTATGCGACAATGAATGAGTCAATTAACCAGAAACCAAGGCAAGTAGGCCACGCACAGGCTCGAAATCCAACCAAACATCAGATATGCACAGGGAGCTGCCTTAATCGAGAGGCGATGTTCGGTGACACCCTCGTCGGTCTTTCCCGGAGCATGGACGACAAAAAGAAGGAGGGAGGGTTGACGTGGACATCTGGCAGCCTAGCCAAAGTTGAGCTGCTGAACATGCCCGTGATCACCTCCACAATGTCGCAATGAAACACACCAAGTCATAATCAAAGAAAATGCAGCAAAGTTACATTGTGAGAGGGCACTTGAAACCCAACTTTCAACGTGTGGGACTATTCGAGTATAGAAAGTCCGTCATAAAAGCGAGGATCAGGTAGAATCAATGGCGTCGGAAATGACATGGTATGGTTCAAACTGCCACCGAGCGTGGCTGTTTAGGGAGATGGTGGTGTCGATCGAAAAAGGTCAATAAAATATGATACAGTCGCCCGGAGGAAAGTACCTAAGTTCCTGTCGCACTAAATACAAGACTTGCTCTGATATCTGGTGGATCTGCCCCAAGTCTTAGTAAACAAAGTAACGGATAGAGAGACTCGGATATCGATGGCGGTGAATACTTCGAAAGGGACGCAATATAACTCTCAAGGATACAAGGATCAGACAACATAACTTATTTGTATCCGTGGCTAGTATAGATATGTACACTACGAGTCAGCAGATTGCGCGAGGAACTCGAGGTAGCGTTGATGGTCCTTTTTGTAGTGCTGCTTAAACTCCTCTGGATAGCGCTCGACCCATTCGTGCCCTGTAAGCTGCTCACCGGTGTCGGGATCCTCTATATCCCACCCAGCCAGCGGATCCACAAGCTTCTTCCGACGCTTTCTGGACGAGACGGGAGCCACGTCAGATGAATCTGACTGCCCGCGCTTACGCGCCGAGGTGCGGCGCGCGCCGGGAACGTCTGAGTTGCCTTGGGGTACATGGATGACTGTCAATAATTGAGAACGTTGCGCAGGGGAGGAGGGAATGCCTGAGTTACCTTCGGCAACTGGAGTGGAAGGTGCGGGTAACTCAGAAGGCGCTGCGACTGAACCAAGTGCTAGCTCGAAGCCACTGGGTGCTTGGGCGGTCGCCTTCGACGTGCTGGCAACAGCAGTGCGTTTCTTCGAAACGCGACCAGACGAATTGGACTAGCTCAATGTAAGCATCGAGCACATCGCCACTGTAACACAATATAGATACCTTGGCTTCGGCCTTCGCTAACTTGAGTTTGCCTTCGACGTCAGCTATAGCAGCTTCGAGTTCGCGAACACGGCCCGTAGCTTCCGCCGACGGCTCAGCCTGGTAGAGTATACTTAACGTGCGTGAGAGATGAGCATAGAAAAGATCTCACCTTGGCGTCACTGCGAGCGGCCTTGAGCTCTTCCTTCGTTTCAGATAGCTCTTGCTGCAGGGTGGCGACATTGGCGTCGATGGCGCGAGCAGCCCGCACCTTGTCGGCCTTCCGGGACTGCCGCGCGGTCCGGTTCGCATAACGTTGAGATACCTCGCTCTGCGAATTGCGCGAGATCGCGGTCGCCATGCGGATTTCAATCTCGGCAGCTCTACGAATATCCAGTTCTTCGTATCTCGCTCGTAGTCAATACACGTATGCACCGCGAGAAGACCGAAAACTTACTTCTTGAACGACTCAATGACGCCCATCGAAATGCCAGTCTGGGCATTGTTCCAGGCGTGCTGCGCTTCACCAAGGTTAGTCGTAGGCTCCATCGTGTTCCACTGTTCGAGCGGAATGTTTGACAAGCACTGAATGAGGCCCGGAAGCAACCAGCGATGCATCAGCTTGTGATCCCACCATCCTAGCATCCGAACTGAGCGAAGAAGAGATTGGGAAAAGAAACGACGTACGTTTAAGCTCTCCCTGGGGGTCGGGAACAGTCGGAATCCACGCCTTGAAGGATTCGACTTCCTCGGGCGTCTTGGCATATTTAAAATCGAAGATGCGCTTCCGATCCGAATCGGAGAGAGTTAGCTCTATGACTCCCTTGAAGAAAAAATGAGTTGGAGAATGGAACAAGAACACCGAACGACACTCACC